ATGACCTTTACATTATGAAAACCAGCACAGATATAACCCCCCAAAAAACAAAATCCTTAGATGTATAACAAAACAACCTAACTACCTTCGGATTGACATTCTCAGGAAACAGTATGATTTTTGGGTACGAATAACGCAAGTTGCCCTCGAACCCAGTCAATACGAGTGTTGTCCCAGAAAAACGCGAACATTTTCAATATTTTTCCTTTCACTTATATTATGAAGTTAAAAATTGGCATGCACCATAATCAACTTTTTTTCACAGAAATTTCATTGAAATATCTCAATAAATAAAATTTTTCTCTCTGATAAAAGAATCATTCAAAATAGCTCACGGCGCAACACCGACGACGTCAAACGTAGCTCGTGGAGTTTTTGAATTTGTTCAGAAATTGTGCGTCTTTAAAATTCGTTCGAAACAGAAATTCGATACTGCATTTGATTTTCTTTTAGTTACCTAGATATCCATTTCACACGTACAACAGTTATGAATAAATCAAGGAATTAATTCTTTTATTAGACAATTTTCTAACCCCGATCATAAACTTAACTGCTCGCATAGTTACATGTCGAGGCGGTCTCCAAGTATGACGTCCAGCTCTAGACTTAACAGTTTGTCGTCATTTATGGTGGTCTACCAAACGCTTCTTCCATCGGATAATCAGTCCATCCAACTTGGAACCTCTTTTACTATATTTAAACCAGTGTTTGATACATGTATTTGTGTCTTTCATTCGTTCCAGCTCTTTCCCAGTATAAACAGGTGTCATACCCTGCTCCACACGGTAATGAGTGACAATTATTGCCCGACGTAGCTATTTTTGACAATATCTAACTAATAGTGTTTGGTCATATAAAGTCATATTTTTGTTATTTGTTATGTCAAAGTATTATTTTTTTATACACGAGTACTCTATATCGTACGGTTTTTATGGATGTAATTTTGTCACATTATATTTCCGTATAATTTTGTAATAAAAAAACATATATGACAATGCTAATTTTGAAAGCCAAGAAATTGCCGTGCACCGACCACCGATATTTAACACCCTTTAAATGTTGTTTCTATATGCATATGATATTCCATCCTTATAGTATTTAGTCAAAATGACGAAAATATTATCCCAACATTGTGCCAAAAATGAATAATTTTGGTAAAGTAGTTTATGAAATAAAAAGTTCGCATTTTTCTGGGACAACCCTCGTACATAGAGGATATCTATGTTGTGTGATTTGATATTTGCTGTATCCAACGAGTTGAAATGGTGTATATTTGCAAGGTTTGCCGAGCAAATATACACAATTTCAACTCGTTGGATAAAGCAAATATCAAATCACACAATTATAGACGTTATTTTTATCTCATATGATTTTCGATTTAACAAAACTTTGAGAGAATCCATTTGAAACTATTATGATTGATTTCTACCCAAATCGACGACGCGTAAATTGGTGGCGTCGCACTGTTGACGTTGACATGCCGAAAGAAAATTATCTGTAGATACGAAATATGAAATCTTGGAATGACATCTGCTGCGTCTTTTAAAACATAAGTGACAATCTGTTGGAGATTCATTTTCATACTTTTAACTGGAAGTTGTACAGTGTTGTAAGGACCGAGAAATCATGAATCCTAGAGAGGCGCGAGCCACGAATTATAAACAAAATTCACTACTCAAGTCAATAGAACTAGGTGTCAGTAGTGAAATGCAATAAAAATTTAATCATGACGGCGGCAGATTTTAACCATGGTACAGCTCGTTTAAACATGGCACTCATAAATTTAACCAAGGCGGGCTGCCATGGTAAAACCTTTTGTGAAGAACCTGGTTCGTCAACTTTCCTGATTTCTCGTAATATTCCGTTGTCATCTGCATATAGTGCGTATGTCTCTCATCTTTTTGATACTCAAAAACATGCTCTGAGTGCGATCAATTTTTAAACCGAGGCTGGCTACCCACAGATAAGTTGATATTATAGTGATTTCAACAACCTCGTTTATAGTCAGCATTTCGTAAATTTTGTAGTCGTTATAATGACCTTGTTAGCAAATATAACTTATCATTAGGTCGTATTCTTGTTGACCTGGCCGTTCACGGTAGCTCAGTCGGTAGAGCGCTCGCTCCGTGATCGGGAGGCGTGAGTTCGAATCTCGGCCGCGATTGACCTAAGTCGATAAAAAATGGGTAGCAACTGTTCCTTCGCCATGCGCTCGGCACTTTGAAGTGAAAGTTGCGGGTCCTTCGGATGAGACCTTAAATACCGAGGCCCCGTGTCACGGCAGGCGTTGGCACGATAAAGATCCCTCACTGCTCAATGGCCCTGAGTGCCGAGTAAAGGTCAAAATTTGAAGCCCTTCACCGGTATATGGTGACGTCTCTATATAAGTGAAAAATTCTCGAATGGGACGTAAAACAACATACAATCAATCAATCTTGTTGACCTGTTTCATACAATATGTTAGGCCATTGTTTGTATATTAAATTTGACTACGGAATGTTCCTTCTACTTGATCAATACATAGGGCCCACGACGGATATAACCGGGTCACAGGGGATGTTGACTCCTGCTAGGCAACTGATCCCATCTCTGGTGGTCCGAGTTTATGCCCTGTTCACAAAATTTATATTGTTAGTAGATTTTTTGAAATCGATCAATTTTCTTAGACTTTGAAAAAGCTTTTGACTCGGTTGAATGGAATTTTCTTTTTCAAGTCTTACAAAAATTTAATATTGGCAATAGTTTATAAAGTGGGCAAAAATTTTATATACAAGCCCAATGTTTAAAATGAAAAACAATGGCTGGCTTTCTAAAGCCTGCGAAATGACAAGAGGCATTAGGCAAGGATGTCCTATTTCCGCTCTCTTGTACCTCTTTGTCGCAGAAATTTTGGCTATTAAGATAAAATGTGATAAGGACATCAAAGGCATAACAATCAATAATTGCGAAATTAAAAACATCCAACATGCGGACGACTTAACTGTAGCTTTAAAAGACGAAATGTCAATGAAGCGCACTCTAGATAAATTACAAGAATTTTGTGAACATGCGGGATCAAAAGTAAACATTCACAAAACAGAATGCATTTTGTTAGAGGAACTAAAAAAGATGTATAATGAACTCCACGGCATAAAAATCACGAATAAAGCAGTAAGATGCTTAGGAATCTTCACTGGACACGACAAGGAAGAATGTTACACTAAAAACTGGATGAAAATTTATCACGATATTGAAAAACTTTTTGAATCCTGGAAAAGAAGAAAACTTACGTTATTTGGTAAATCATGTATAGTAAAGACACTTGCGATATCTAAACTTATATATGTTGCTTCAATACTTAGTCTTCCTGATATTGCTTACATGAAAAAAATACAACGTCTAATTTATAACTTTATTTGGGATAAAAGTGAACGAATAAAACGAAACACGCTAATAGGTAGAATTTCAAAAGGTGGCCTCTCAATTGTTGATATTGAATGTAAATTAAAAGCTTTAAAAGCGGCTTTGGTACCTAGGCTGTTAAGAAAAAAAGGTATTTTGTACAACATTTTTGATGGCTATTGTAAAAAATTAAATTTTGATGCTCCTTATGCGTTAAGTTTCTCCGATAGAAAGAAAGAAAATATAGAGAAACTAGAGAAACTACCTATTTTCTATCAACAAATGTTATGTTGCTTCAATGATTGTAAGCCTTGTTCTTTGAACAAAATGTCGTCCGATAATGTTCTTCAACAGCCGATATGGAACAATTGTAATTTTGTTTATAGAGGAAATACATTATTTTTTAAAAATTGGATAGTCAGTGGGATTTTACATGTTAAAGATTTGTTTGACGATGATGGTAATTTCAAATCATTGTCAGATTTTTCGAAGTGTATGAAAAACAAGTCAAACTGGTTGTGTGAATATAAAATTCTTACTTCTGTTTTCAAACCTTTACTACGAAAGTATGATTTTTCAAATTGTAAGTTTGTGAACATACGCTACAGAAATTATTTTCTCTTCTACACAGGATATGTTAATGTCTTAGATCAAAGATGCAGATTTTTCTATGAAAATTTTGTACACAAGAAATTTTGTAAACCGTGCTATCAAACAGTTTTAAACAAAGAGTTTAGTGTTGAACCTGTAGAATGGAAAAATATATATCAATGTAAATTATACGACATACCCGATAGACAACTTACAGAATTCAACTATAAACTTTTAAACAATATTCTCTGTAATAATTTCTATCTCAGTAAATGGAAAAAAGAAACGAACAGCCATTGCAAATTATGCCATGTGAACGAAACTTCAAAACATCTCATTTTTGAATGTAAAAATGTTATTGAAATATGGAACAGATTAAGTTCTTACCTGAAAATAGATATCAAATGGAAACATGTAATGATTGGATTTAGTTCTGAGCGTAATAGAAAAATTGTATCACTCAATACACTCATCTCTTATGTTGCCTATAGAATTTACAAATATAAGATGTACTGTCGACTACATTCCTTGGATGAAACTAGCTACAACATTTTTAATCATGTTAAATCTTCAATAATTTTCTATGCTTCCATTCTGAAAAATTTGAACTCTCTTGTAGACTACAGGCTTTTTAAAGATCTTGCCTAAAATATTTTTGAATGCATGTTTCAATTGCTTTACATTGTATTAAGTCAATATTGCCATATTATCTTAAGTTCGTAATGTAACTTGTTCTAAGTATGTTATATATATATATATATATATTTCTATGTTTGTTTTTATTAAGAAATAAAAATAAAATATGAAAAAAAAAGAAAAAAGAAAGAAATCGATCAATGTTCGTTATCTTCACTTTTTTGTGTAGAAGTTCATACATAAAATTTCTTATCAAGAGCAGTCGTATGAGAAAATTTTAAAGATAAAAGAAACTTCAAAAAAAAAAAGAGCAAGAAGACTTCAGGGTCAAAATATCTTATCATTATTTAATGATTATATATAGTTTTAGAATAATGTATTGCAATGTGTAATCTAAATAGTCCCAGACACTGAAGAAAGGTATTTCTATCACCAAAATACAATTAAAGTCAAGACCTAACAATTAAATACTTTTATTGTTTGACTTTGGTCACCATTATTTGTTTTACAAATGTAATTTCATAACTATATTCTGCTTATAATGTGTATATATGTATTTGCAATCTCTCCTTAGTTCCTGTCTCTGAGTTGTTCTCCTTAGTCACAGAGTGTTTCTTATTTATAAGGTGCCCTCTGTGTACATCAGACATTTATTCAATCTTTACGAAATATTTAGATATTCGCCTGTAAAATAAAATAAATGAAATGTATGTTCATTTGTTTACGTACAGTTTTGTATAAACACTACTACATCGAGCACATCAACACTGATATCAGTGTGTATTTATCGTTAGTTACGAAGTTACAGTAAGTCCCCTGTTACATCTATTTTTATTATATACGTATTACCTTCTTTATTTTCTGCAACAGAATCATACACGTTTCTTTTCTCAATATTTTCTAAGTTTTCTTTGGAACTGAAAGTAACCATACTATGAATAATTAATTTAAAAACATTTATGTCCAGAACACTATTTTGTCGAATATTTTTAAGCAAGTAATACCTTTTCTTTCTTTCTCTACTAGATCCGATTTCTGTAATGAAAATTAAAGACACGGATAATTAATATTTAAAATTATAAAAACTTTTCTTATATTATACTATTTATGCTCATCGTAAGCCAAAGCAATCAAATATTTTTTAAGGGTTGGAAACAAACTTAGCAGACACTTCTTTTGATGACGTACCGTATATACTCGCCTATAAGTCTGTCCGCCTAAAAGTCGGTTGTATTTTTTGCAGTTATTTTGGAGGGATTTGCCATTGACCCGCTCATAAGTCGGTACAACTTTTTGCCAGAATTGGTTGACAATTTCAAATCAATGCTGTTATGTTTTAACCTGGTTTCAATCAATATTTATTAAAAAAAAATGACGGCGATATTTTAATTTTAAATCATTAAAAGATGAGTAATGCCCACTTTAGATAAAAATAAACTATTAAAATTTATAAATACTTGTACTTTATGCATAATCTTAGAATACATAAATGATTTAATATATAAAGACTTTGGTCATAGATAATCTGCGGGATTCTTTATAAAATACTACCTTTCGTCGTCCAGAAAAATACAATCTTTTTATGACTCACCTATAAGTCAAACACAGAGATTTGGACCAAAATGTAACTCCCCAAAAACCGACTTATAGGCAAGTATACACGGGTATCTTAATTCAGTTGTACATTCTTCACATGATCTGCAAACAAACAATTTCTAAACCAAAAGAGATTTTAAATAATTGATAACAATCTTTTAAAGTCTACAGTTTTGCAAATTATATCTTTGTTCGCAATTACAACTTATCGTTTGATCCAATGTTGATTAATGTTTTTTATGTAAATTTTGGGCCAATATTTTCATTTTCAATTTTTCTAGGAATTACTCTATTCATTTGATCACTACAAAAGATATGACAGGTCAACAGGGGATATTTTTACTCCTCCTTGATACCTGATCTAATTTCAAATGGTTTCAGAAACCATGCTTGCAAAGATCAGCTCTCAATTAAGTCTAGACTTTTGAGCATCATTGGTGTTCTGTAATTTTCAACATTTCATTATTTATAATGATAAGAGATAAGATAGCGAACAGTGATCGATCTTACAAATTCTATAAACAATATAAATCTGCGAACCGGGCATAAAGACAGACACTTGGAAATTCCAGAGGTGGGATCAGGTGCCTTGGAGAAGTATGCACCCCGTGTTAAGCATTTTATCAATCATATCCACAATACAAGAACACCATTTCCAAGTAAACAAATTATGCAAATTAAGTGATATGAGCTGCAAAAGTAGTTCAGAATATAAATATCTAGATTACGTATTTAATTAGCATGTATAAACGCTGAAAAAGACTTATATGCATTGAAAATATTGAAATGACGTTCACAATAATGAAAATTATTTAGAAAGGTAAACATAGTCGTTCTTGAAACAAAGCCAATATGTTTAACATGACCATATAAATTGAGAAAAATATTTACTTTTTTGGTCTGAGCCAAGATCCTGATATTGATGATTATCAACCTTCGTGACGTTGTGCATGACGTATTCCTTTTTTCTAGTATCATAAATAAGGTTTAAAAAATATAAGTTATATAAAAAATCTAAATAAATTATCAAAAAAGAATACATATTTACTCACTCAGTCCTTCGATAGCAACAAGTAGCTAAATAGAACAAATGAAATAAATAAGTTAAATGTGACACATCATTAAAGAGAATTTTTCTGTGATTTCATAAACTTGCATATTACAAATATTGTATTTCCCTACCTTTTTCATAATATTGAATTCTGAAGATAATAAATATTACAAGTCCAGTACAGATGACAAATAATACAGCTGAGATTGATCCAAGTACGGGAATAAGAAAGGATAAATCTAGAATCAAATGTTTGAGCATTATTTCAATAAGCGCGGGTTGTTATTTATGACTTTTAATTATTAACGTCAATAGAAATAGTAAATTTGCGTTTATTTTGTATTCTCTACCTCTTGAACAAGCATTGGATACACGCTGCTGTAATTCTGAGCTCCCTGTGAGATAGAAAAAAAAAATTAATCTATAAATGAACAGGACGAAAAAGCTTCTTATTATCTCAAAATCTAAATTTGCCTTATTCTTTTTTATTATATGATAGCATTATAAAATGTTTAGTATTTTTTCTTTCAAATTACATCAATTGGAAGCCTCAGTGTTTTTCTGTCACCATCGGTATTCAAATTTCCTTGGTATTTTAGATAAAGTTGATGCTATGGGAAATATCTGTTTTCTGTTCAATGATGTCTTCCAGTTTCATAATATAATTGGATAGTTTAATGTTCTTAAAAAGACATTAAGCTGAATGACATGTAATTGATCATGAGTGATATGTTAATGATCATGAGTGACATGTAATTGATCATGAGTGACATGTAATTGATCATGAGTGACATGTAAATGATCATGAGTGACATATAAATGATCATGAGTGACATGTAATTGATCATGAGTGTTATGTTAATGATCATGAGTGACATGTAACTGATTCCGAATGACATGCAAATAGTGGCATGTAATTGATCATGAGTGATATGTAAATGATCATGAGTGACATGTAATTGCTCATGAGTACCATGTAAATGATCATGAGTGACATGTAAATGATCATGAGTGACATGTAATTGATCATGAGTGTTATGTTTATGATCATGAGTGACATGTAACTGATTCCGAATGACATGCAAATAGTGGCATGTAATTGATCATGAGTGATATGGAAATGATTATTAGTGTCATGTAATTGATCATGAGTGACATGCAAATGATCATGAGTGACATGTAATTGATCATGAGTGATATGTAAATGATCATGAGTGATATGGAAATGATCCCGAGTGATATGTAAATGATCATGAGTGACATGTAAATATTAATGAGTGACAGAAACTTTGTTTAATTAAACACAAAAATTTACAATGAAAATCTAATACAGTGTGTGCTCGTATATAAATATATATGTTTTGTATTATTGTATCCGAGACATACGAAATGACCTGCATTTGTATATTTTGATATTTTTTTAAATGGGCTTTTACGCTTGAATACTTTTCATCATCTCCATATTTTATTTTATTTTATTTGCATGTAAATTGACGGCATTCAATGAACAACTCAACCAATTTTTGATTTGAAAGTTGACTTGAGTCATTTATGATCAAGGTCCAGATGTCTGATACTGAATTTATTTGGTGACACATCTTTGTTATTGATTTTTCCTCCCCAATTTATTTTTTTTTTATTTCTTATTACAGTCAATCCCGTATTATGTAATCTAAGATAGCTCAAAAATGGTCACAAATGATAGGTAGAATCTTATAACAGGGAATCATATTCTAGAAAATTTTAAAGTACATGCATAACTTATAAATAGTTATACATGTACTTGTTTACTTGTGCCCTTCTTTCTTCACAGTTTTTCTTAACATCTCTTTATGAGTGAAAAATTCTCGAATGAGACGTGAAGCAATATACATTCAATTAATCTACCAGTCATTTCCTCATAGTCTGGAATCATTGTTACTTTTCTTCATGAATTAATATATTCCTTAAAAACTATACAATGGATTTCTTCCCATAATTGCGTTTAGTGAAAATTTAATTTTTTTTAACAAAAACATGTTTGTTTTTATAGTGTTTCACGCTTCGATAAGAGTGTTAATTGAGGATTAAAATTATTCATGACAAAAATTATATTTCAAAAAGCGGGAAAAAAACAAAGCACAACGATAATCACAAATAGAAACAAAGATTTTTATTTCTGCACAAACATGCAGTTTTTTAATCAATGTCGACACCACACAAAAATGATATATAGGTAATTTTAATATATTTCTCATTTAGATAAGTTTCGATTTGATAAAAAAAAAAAAGCCTACACTGTAAAATACTCAATTAATCACTGTTTTTGAATACCGATTTCTCAAAATGTAATTCATGGCATGGTTGTGTTTAAAAGGAATTTTGTACTATTGTCGCTAAATTTACCACCACCTCCCCCTTCCCCCTGGAAATACACGAGAAACTCCAATCCCAATGATCAAAGTTGGTTTATGCAAGTACTGTCTGGTGGTTCTGAAAAGCTGGGAATATATACAGCGATTGACTATCATATCACCTAGTAATCATTCAGTGCCTTGGTGTCCATACCCAGTTCACCCAACGTTCCGGTTGCCCCAATTTTGTGGAACAATCTTAAAATTGTAGTGCGGCGCTTACTTAATGTCATGACTATATAGTAAACATTTTATGTTTGTTAGTCTATTTGCAACGATTTTTCACTAGAGGAATTAATAATCTTTTAAGTTTTTTGATTTTTTAAAAATTTCTCCAAAGGACCCCCCCTACAGACACCATACTGACTGCTTTTGCATGCTCCTCTGGGGTCAAACGCTGCATACGGTGTAATTTGTTTAGAGTTTATAATTAGTACAAACATAAAGAACAAAACACAAAGAAAAAAATAAAATTTATTCCTATAAAGAGTATAGATACGATTTTCATTTTTTCTACGAAATGGTTACACTTCAGTTAAAATTGTAGTTATTAATCAGTTAAGACATTTGAATGCCTCATCTTTTACTTAAGTAGCATAATTTTTCATCAAATACATCATAAACAAGTTTTGACAAGTTAAATATTGATTTCTTTGGTAGTGTGTTATTTTTTTTTTCTAGTGTGCATATTTTTGCCTATGAAAGTCAAATTTTGAAAAATTCTCAAAATATGCAGAATTGTATATATTGTATGAAAAATCTGAATTCACAAAAAATATTATAGTTTTGAAGTAGATTTTTGATATTTTGTTTTCTATGACTTTTCAAACTATTTGGATTTTGCAATATTTTTCAGAAAGGGGACAAAATGGGAAAAATATGTTCAAATTTTACTTATAATTTATAGAGCCCAAACCTGCTCCATAACAATATTCACCTATTTCATTGATACTATCGTTCGCAATTCTTTTAACTTTCTCCGTCAAAGTTTGATTTTGGGGCAAATATTGGTCATTACCGGATAGGGACTTTATTTATAAAAAGAAGCATTTCAAATACATGTAGCATAAAGTTTCATGTACAACATTCATGATTTTTCTACAGAACTATAACAATTGTTACCGTATATGATTTAAATTATGACTCCTGGGTCGAGACCTCTGCTGGTAGATTGTCAGTCCCCAAGGGTCTCTACAGCCCAGTAGCGAAGTACTTCGGTACTAGCTTGAAAATACGGATATATATTTAATTGCTGCGGTAAAATTTAGGAATTTATTTCAAAATTAAGGATTATCTCCCTCATGAAAAGCTCTGATCCTTCGACGTATTTTGCTCCAGTCTTTGGCACCCCCTTTTTCAGCTCTTCAATGTTTTTTTTTTCTTTACATATTTCGGATTTCCAACGTTTAGGATGTAAATCACTGAAGAGATATAATTTGTCGAAATACGCACTTGTTGCATCAAAATTGGAACCATATATGATTTACATTATGTTAGACAACAAAAACGTTCTGATTCAGTAGGTCCCCCTTTATATAAGCATTGGAATTTAATTTTAATTTAGTAGATAGAATCCAACTTTTGAGCTTTTGACCTCGTCTCTTACCTAAGGTTATATTAAGATACTGTCTGGCCGTTCCTGTTTCACAGAGACCAGAGTATCCAGACTCACACAGAAACTGTATGTAGGTGTCGCTAGTGGTGAGGTTGTAGTTAATACTACTAGTACGTGTGTACTGACAGCCAGATTGCGAGGACTGGGAGTGGGTTGGTGTCTGTGGTAACCCTGTGAAGGATGGTGCTCCAGCAGTCTTAGCACACCAACGTATCGTCTACAATTCATTGAAAGAAAGTGAGCAAATTTTACGCAAATGTTGAAAAAATTCTTTAGGCAAAAACAATATTTAGTTGTGTTATTCATCTCCGTACCTAACCTGTATTTAATTTAGATTCCTACCCGAGAATATTTAAGGTAATAGGAATCCTTAAATAATCCAATGACTTTTCCAATAGAAAATCTTATGAATCTGCGAAAAATAGTATTTTCATCTTGAAAACACTGCCGAGTAAAATGAAAAGACCGATAGAAATTGTTACAAATTATTTTTGCCAACAATTAAATCGTTTAATCATGTCATAACATGTGTTTGAGTATAATAATTAGAGTTGTGTTCCCTTCAAATTCATTTTTTTTTCCTAAGTGCTACCTTGGAATTCAACTTAGTATTTTTCAGACCTAATATTTTTTAATGGACAGATTCCAGAAGAAATAAATATTACGTAACATTAAAATAATTTACTTATGCAGTATTTTATGTATATAGCGTTATCAAGAGAAAGTCTATTACATCAGATTGAAATATTCTATTTTATTTACATCTTAATTCTTTCATGTTATGCTGAAAATTTTAATTAACTTCCTTTTTTAAAATTTGTATTTTTAATTCCGACATTTCTTTCTTATTTTCGTAAATTATTTAATTTCATTAATCCTAATACACTGTAATTATCTTCACCTGTCAGATCTGCTACATTTCTACATTATGAACACAAAAAAACATTTTTCTAAATATCAGTTACTTATATACCCTAATAAAAAAATACTATAGTTAACTACAGTTTACTATATTAAACTATAGTTAACTATAGTGATAACTTTGGCACTTTGATTTACTATAGTGATAACTTTGAAAACTTTGATTTATTATAGTGATAACTATGACACTAAAGTGATCACTTTGAAAACTTTGATTAACTATAGAGATCACTTTGACACAATAGTGATCACATTGAAAACTTTGATTTACTATAGTGATAACTTTGACACTTTGATTTACTGTAGTTAAGTATAGTAAACTATAGTTAACTATAGCATTTTTTGTTAGGGTAATAAAGACTTTAGAGCTTGAAATGTTTAACACGTACTGCACTAGGATCACTGCCTATCTGTCCTGTACAAGTTAATTGCACAGCTGTTCCTACTTCAAACTGTCTTTCATTTGTGTCAAACAGTTCTCCGAGTATCCTCACTCTGGGTATCTGGATTACATATGGCTGAACTGTAACACAGAAATAACGTCTACTCCTTGCAATTGATGTGATTCACAAACCTTTATTTTTTACAGTATTACTATTTTCCCATGTTATTGAATAGGCATAGGCTTGGATTAAAGAAATCAATAGTGACAAAATAACACAGAATTCCGAAATTGTAAGCATTCACTAATACAATATGATATTTTAAAAGAAAAAAATAGTTTTGACACAGCTTAGTTGTTGGCACATTGGCAAAGCAAATTGAACAATTACTAGTATATCAAAATTAATGATGCAAATTGAGCAATGATTAGTCTTGTCTGAGGTCAGCTGATTTCTTGCCTCATTTAACGAAAAGGTATGCATTCATTGGCTCTTGTCTACCTGTTACCATACCTCTATAATCAAGCTTTACTGGATCTGATTCAGCGTCTTGTTCAGAAATCGAATTAGAATTACTATCCACCCCTCTCATTCTACACCTGTATTCTTTGAAATCATCTGGACACCTCACATTGTATTTTGTGAAAGTTAATCTCAGTTCCGCTGTAGAGACTGGACTAAGAGAGCCTGTTGCTGTGGTCCTGCTTTGTAAAGTTAAGTCTGGATATATTATCCTACCTTGTAAATTATCTTGACTAAAAGTAATAGAAACCGATACTTCAAAAGAGTTGGAAGTGTTTCTCTGCAGTATTATAAAAAACAATTTCATGACTTGTGATGGATTCCTTAAGGAGCAGACTATAGTCAGGTCATCCTCTCCAATATCTACTGTCTGTGGTTGAGCCTGGATCTGCAGGTTCTGTGACCATGCTGAAAGAAAACATGGACTTAAACAAGAAACACAAGGACCTTGATATTCACCTAAGTATCAGGTTTTTCTCAAGCAAAGACCTTTCACCTGGAACTGTAATCCTAGACTCATGTGAGAAAAAAATATATATTATTTGGTGGGGACTTCATAATCATTATCATATCCATGCAAGCATGTTCAATTTGTGTACTTTACACACATCATGGAGCACGGTCTGACAATACTAGTGAGTTGATTTCGCTTTCTGGCATTTCTACTATGAATATAAAGGGAAGTTTCGAAATACACTTTTATTATATTTCTGAGTGAAATGCGTCAGCAACGTATGTCATGATATTATACTGAAAATATTAGAAAAAAATAACTTCAAATCTGAGTCCAAACCCCTTTAAAGTTTTAGTGAAATTTTATCCAAAAAAAAAAAAAGAACTAGATTTTTTTTTTCCTTTTACCATTGCATGAACTATTATGATTTTTAATCTATAAAGTGTAAATTAATTTACAACGCAATCCCATAAAAAGAAGATTTTAACTATAAATATAATTCGTGTCATGAAATTTAATCACTAATTTTTCACCTAATATTAAAATAATTACTTGATAAAATATGATAAACTTAGTGTTATATTATTGAATGCAAACTTCGAATATTTTACTTACCAAAACGCAACAAAGAAATTTGAAGAAAACATGAAAAAACACATGAAATAAAAGACCGTGAAAAGTGTCCTTCCCTACCCATTTTGCTTTAATACTTCCTTATACTTGTTTATATATGTATGGTGCGCCTTGGATAACAAGTTACTGAAATAAGCACATAGAGCATTGAAGAACAATTAGGTGAAAGAAGGTACAGGTGGTTTGTTTACATGTTAACGATAAGCTGAATACATCGTATTTTGAGAAAAATCAATATTATTTCACTTTTACAAATCATAGAAGTGGGATCAAATTGAAATATAAAGATAAGGAACTGCACATGTGACATGTGATAATACTCATAAGTCTAGTTAAACAATACAAATTATGAGCAGAGCCAATGCTGACTTCTGAAAAAAAGGGGTAAGATCAGGTGCCATGGTGAAACAAACATCCCCTGTTAAATAAGGAAACATATACATATACTTTAGTAAGTAGGGGGTACATTATTTATGCATAGTTGTATAACATTTAATCTACTGTGAAAAAGTCAGTTTTGTATCCTTACGTAACTACATGTAAGGAATTTTCTTTTAAACTGTATTTTGCATGACAAATTATCTGATTACAATATATTCTTCTATGAACATTGAGAGGGGATATTTTTTATTGACATAGCCAGATAAAAGGTGTACAGAGTGTACAGAGCAAGGAATGTATGCAATGAAATATATGAAGATAACGAACAGTATTCAGGCTCAAAAGTCCATCAAACAATACAAAATAGGAGCAGAGCAAACACGGACCTCCAAACATCAGAGGTGGGATCGGGTGCCATGGAGGAGTGAGCATCCCCTGCCGACCGGTCACACCCGCCGTGTGCTCCTTGTCATGATCGGGAAATAACGGGAAAATAATGCTTTATTTCCATGATGTTTTTTAATCGATAAAAATTGTCTTTTTAACATGAATATTTAACAAAATAAATTATCAATGAATGCGATTAGATTAGTGAATGTGTATGTATATGATACTAATGAAAATTCAGCTTTATGCTGGATATTTGATGAAAAATGCTATTAATATTTTTTTCAAATACAGTTTTTAACTTCTTGCCCTAATCATACGGACGAAACTCCATTTTGAACGACAAAAAAAATGCGATGAATTGAATAACAACAGGTTACTATTATTTGCAAATGTAACATTACGTTTCACTTTGCTGCGTTATGTTTCGTTTTGTTTAAACGTAATATCCACAGGCTAAGGATATTAGCATTTTGCGGAAGGAAATCAGGAAATGACAAAGAAGCAAAGTGAATCAATTATCGTTATGGGTCGAATTGTTTTTTTAACAAAAGAAATCGTATCTTTCAACATTTCACCCAAGTTTTTTTTATAGTGTATTTAGGTAGCAGTGTAATTTTCTTTTTAAAAAATTCCGCTTCAAAGTTAATAGAGTTTACTTAGTAATTACAGAAGTCACCGAGGATGAGAAAACCCGTATAAGTAGACAAAATAATATATAAACAGGAACAATTAAACATTTCATTGTACGACCCTTGTCATTGTAGATTGATATGAATATAAATTGATGCATTGATCTATGACCTTTAATGGATATATTTATTATTTAAAAAATAATGTTTTACATATATACAATTATCGCTCAATGTACCCCTCAACTAGGTCCGTTCAATACTTTTTGTTTCACAAAGTACCAAAAGCCGCTGTATAAATATGTTCTTTATGAAAATTTCACTTCAAAATGATATATAATGTGAAACCCTTTAAGTGGTAGGTTTTTAAATCTTTAAAAGATAGGGTTATTGAGAGTCAGTAAAGATGAAAATTATAAAAAGCTTTTATTGTATGAGAGATACAGCAATGTAAAGAGGGCAAGGAAAAGTCAAGGTCATCTTTAAAAATAATAATCCACCAAACATCTCATTGTGATTTTTTGTGTTATAACTATATACCAAACCATATCATTCACAGAAAAATTACACAATTCTTTTTATAAAAAAAAAATATGGCTTCTTTGCTGAAAAAAATCTGGCTTGAATTAAATATGGCAGGTTTATACATTTTAGAGTGTGCATAACTTTATCCTTTAAAAAAAATGTGTCGCTTTTGTATTGCTGCACGAGGTCTGTTGGGGAATTCTGATGATCACTTTACAAATTATTATTTGGAAAGGAAATAGGAATATACAATTTACAAACACATTCAATATTAAAAAAAAAATATTGATCAAATATTTCAATTTTCTTTTTACATGACCTATTATCGTCGGTGGAAGTGGAAAGCAACGCAGTCTAAAAATCTGCATTGGAATTCTGTAATCAAGGCCTGGATGACCAATAAGAATGTATGAAAATTTCATGAACGTATATAAATCTTTCTTCAGTTTTAATCTTGACCTTGTTTATTATTATTATTATTATCATTATTATTGCAAATTTAAAGGATTTTCGAAAATATGGAATTTCATAAAAATTTTACATAAGGTGTAAATCAAGAGATGTTACGTATTTGTTTTTTTTTTTAATTAAATTTTGTTTATCAAAAATTCCTTTTAAGAACATTTCACTAATATTGAGACACCACCGTATGCCAGTGAAGGGCTGCAATATTTAATCTTATACTCGGCTCTCATGGTCTCTGAGCAGTGAGGGATCTCAGTCGTGCCAACACCTTCTACAACGCAGGACCTCGATTTATATGGTCTCATCTGAAGGACTGGTCTCCACGTCTTGTAGTTGGATTCGAACCCACTACGTAAGAATAAGATCTTTACTCCGCGACTCTTAAGCAAACGCTTTAACCACTGAGCCACGTGGTCGACCACTCGAGATTGTGGAGATGGGTAAAGAATGGCGATAACTTGTGTCCGTTGGTTTCCTAGAATATTATCAAAATTGAAAGAGAACAGATGACGTTTTAAGTTGTTTCAATCAAGTACAAATCTAACGCTGAAATAACGATATTGAGAGTATTTCAGCAGAGTGCTCCCGGTCAAAGGACAGATGCAAGTTTAGATTTTCACCAGTACTTATCTACTGGTGCCATAAACCAAAAAAATTGCTCGTTTTGGTTTTTTTTTTTTTTTTTTTTTTTTTTTGGGGGGGGGGGGGTCTTTTTTGGCTTTTTATTTGTTTAATGTCCCTTCGAGAACATTTTACCCATATTGAGACGCCACCATTACCAATGGATGACTGCAAATTTTAGACCTATACTCGGTACTTAGGGCCTCTGAGCAGTAACTGTTTTCGTGCCAGGACCTACTGTGACACAGGACTTCGGTTTATACGGTCTCATCCAACGGACCAAATTTACCGTCACGCAGTGGTATTCGAACCCACGACTTAAGGATCAACACTTTACTCCGTGACTTTAGAGCAAACTCTCTAACAAATTACCATGGCCGTGCACGAGGGCGACATACATATAGCTTCTTGAAAAAATCCTGGTGGACTTTCAAGAATTGCTATCTTTCTTTTCTGGAGTTTAGCCACTACTCGACAAAATATTTTAAAAAGAAGAAATCTCCCGCACCGCGCATTGACTAAAGTTTTCTCTACATTCGCGGGGTAACGGGCTGATTCTTACACAGCGGGTTTGAATCCATGGCGGGACGCTGGGACCGGTCATTCGGATAAAACAGTATAAACCAAGGTCCCGTGTCGGAGTAGGTGTTTGCACGAAAAAGATCCCTCATTGCTAAAAGGCCCTGAAAGCCGAGTACAGGTATAATTTTTCAGCCCCCATCGGCAAGTGGTGGCGTCTCCATATGACTGAAAAATTCCAGAGAGGGATGTTTAACAACAAAAAAAACAAAACAAAGAAGATCTTCAAAAATTACTTGGTGCCGTATACTTTGTATCGTGTCATGTAAAATGCAAATAAAAATAGACTTTATTCCTATTTTGCAATCATAACTTTATTTCATGTTTCAGAAATGCTACATTTGGCAGCAAAAGTTTGGAATATATCTCATATTTAAAAAGCAAGACTTTTTTGTTAATATTATCAAAATTAACTAGATCGTTACTTATTTAAAGGAGTTAGTCCTTAAAAGGTCAAATTTATGTGTATTCATGCATACTACACATTGCGAGGATCTCAACAATTGCAACAAAAGCAATTTTTCTTACACTTTTTTCGAAAGATGTATCGCCTTAAGCGGTTAAAAGGTTAAAAAAAAACGTAATGTTTAAGGAAAATTCTTCATAACATGGCTCTAGGACTGTTTCCAGGTATACCCATCAACGCAGGAAAACAATGAAAACGATGGTTTGTATTTGCAAACAAGGTCATTATATTGATCATAACATATCGGAAAAGTTGTCGTAATACAATAGACTGATAATAGTCATATGATATAAACTCATTGTCCTAATATTATATGCCTTGTTCACAGATTTGTAGTGTTTATAGATTTTTGAGATCGATCACTTTTTGTTATCTACCTATTGCATTTAAAATTGATAATCACAGAATACTCTAAGTAGCTTGTCTCGGTTTAAAATTGATACCCAGCACATGCATATGCTCTTAGTAGCTTGCTTAGGTTTAAAATTGACACCCAGCGCATGCTCTACGTAACTTGCCTCGGTTTAAAATAGATTCCACCCAGAGCATGCTCTAAGGTACAGAATTTTTATGGAGACATAAACATCATTTATACGTGATAATAGAGTATTTCTTCAAAACAGCTGGTCATATTTTTGTCACATAGTGTAGTTGATAGTTGCCATTTTTTTTTTCTAGTTAAGTATCCAAATGTGAAGCAGTTATGTCAGACTCTCTGGTGCCCTTTATTTCGAATTCAATAAGAGAAACCGAATCAAACAAAAATAAATAATGGTTATTGATAAAACGGCATCGATATATCTGAATGTCGAATTAAAGGCTATTGCAAGAAATTGTTTCTTTTCATGTAGAAGTTTCTTTAATAAATTATGCTTCATTAGACTACAAAACATGTCTGCTTATAATGAGATACAATTTGTATCTTTGCACCGGGTACCAATTAATCTAACGTTACTACTGGTATTTAATAAAAAGTCGATTATATA